GTTCTGATGAGATTGAAATGAAATCTTCCACTACAAGATTTAGCTTACAGGTTTGGAGTATCATGCTCCATAGCATCAAGAATTTTTCACAAAATTTTTACCATCATGCATCAAAGACTACAGTTTCTTGTGGAGTGGCCAAGCAGAGAAACATTGTGGGCAACTATCAAACAACAAACAAACAAACAACATTTGTATACCGGCCCGTATTAATCCCCGCCAGGGGGGTTGACCGGTCCATGAATTTTTCCACGCCAACGTCTCTATCTCTCGCCATATCTCTCGTTATACCCATCGCCTTCATATCACTGTTCACAGCATCCATCCATCTCTTTCTCGGTCTACCTCGTTTGCGGACTCCATCAACATTCATATGCAACGTTCTACGAATTTCAGCACTTTCTTCCCTCCTTTCCACATGCCCAAACCACCTCAAACGCTGGCGCTTTACCCAATTCTCGATACACTCAACACCAACTCTTTCTCTAATCTCTTCACTTCGAATCCTATCCATCAACGTTACACCACACATCATCCTAAGCATTCTCCTTTCCGTCGACGCCAATCTTTCAGGTCCTCTACTTTCGGCGCCCAACACTCTGCTCCATATCCCAAAACACTTTAACACATGCCTTATACAATTCTCCCTTCTGCTTCAACGAAGTCGACTTTCCGCACAACATTCCCGACAACTCTCTAAAATCCACCACGCTGCTTGAACTCTGTTCCTCACCGCTTGCCTGCACCTCCACCATCATTTAACACATCGCCCAGATATTTAAACTCCGATACACCTTCCAAACTTACGTCACCCAGTTCAAACCGTTCAATCGCGACTCGCCCACCACTTCGACACGTCCTGCACTCAAAATCAGTTACTCTTGTCAATGCACCACGGACACCTGAACATCCTTCCATGAACCCACTTACTGCATTTCTGCACATTATCGAATCACTCAACTCTTTTCCCACACACACCACATGGCCATTTATCACTGTCCTTCACCTCCACCTGCCTCGAGCTCATGCCCTTCGTCTTTGCCTCATTTACTTTCAGTCCCTTGACTTCTATTGCCGTTTTCCATTCTCGGTACCATTCCATGACTTTCTGCTTCGACTCCGCCACCAAGACAATGTCATCTGCATACAACAAACACCAGCATCCTTCTTTTCTTCTCACTTCCTCTGTCAGTACATCCATCACACAAGCAAACAGTAACGGCGACAAGACTGAACCTTGATGAACACCAACTTTTACCTCAAAAACACCAGATCTAACACCTTCCTCCGTAACCACCGCCTCTACACCTTCATAAGTCTCCATAACTGCCCTAACCATATCCTCTGTCACACCTTTCTTACGCAGCGCGTACTCGATCACCTTTCTCGGAACTCTATCAAACGCCTTCTCCAAATCTACAAACACCATATACAATTCTCTGTCCTTCTCCAAAAATTTCTCCTGCAGCTGCCTCAACACAAAACACGCATCCGTCGTTCCTCCCCGGTATGAATCCATACTGCTCTTCCCCATCCGAACAACTTCCCTCAACCTTCTTTTAAACACTCTCTAATATCTTCAACGCATGCCCCATCAGCTTAATAGTCCTGTAATTCCCACATACCGTCGCTCCTTTTCCTTTGTACAGGGACCACTAGACTTTTCTCCATGTACTCGGCGTCTTTGAGCCCCTCAAACCTCGTTCGCGCATTACACAACTCTCACGCATAGTTCATTGTCCAACATTTCGCTACCCACTTCACTCGGTCCCGTCGCCTTTCCTTTCTTCATCTTGCGCAGAGCCACCGCCACCTCATCAACAGTCACTATTTCACACGGCCCCAAAACTTCATGCGCTTCAACTTCTCCATTCCATTCATTCTCTACATTCATCAAACGGTCACAGTACGCCCTCCACACTTCTAACCTGTCTTCCAATAACACCTTCAACTCCCCATCGTGGTTCTGCACGCCGGGAGCACCCAAAATATCGTTCCTCGCCTTCTTGCTTCTTCTAGCAGTTCTAAACAACGCTTTTCGTCCATTCTCCTGCATTTACGAAGCTCTTTCTGATGCCTTCTATCGCTTTAGCCTCCTTTCGCGCCTTTTTCTTGAACCGGATGTAATCGATCCTATCTGCTTCAGTCCGCGACTTTCTCCACCTTTTAAATGCCAACTTCTTCGCGCCAATCACTTCGCTGACTCGTTGATCCCACCACCATGCCTGTTCTTTTACTACACCGCCTTTACTTCTACAACATACCTTCTCCGCTGCCGTTAAAACACCCTTCTCCAAGCACGTCCATCGCTCCTCCACCGTCTCACCCTCAACATTCAATGTCGCAATTTCGTCACGGAAACACTGCTTCCCTTCATTCGATCGTAACTTCCATAGCTTAAGCCTGCCTTTACCCTCAACCTTTCCTCAACCTTTCTGTACTCTTCCGATAGAGTACATGTACAAAAAACCTGGCGAAGTACAATCAGTAATTGATAAGATAGCAGTCATATGTTGTGCTTTAACTAATTTATCTCAATCTGTAGTCCCTGTGGAGTAAAACAATATTCCCTAAAATTGAAAACTTTGAGAGCAACATGGAAGAAACATCTCCATCTATTTTATTAATAAACATCTTCATCTGTTTAACTAAAACTTTTGATATATTTATTGTTACTTGATGGCTAGAGCAATGTTTGTTATAAATATAATGCCATCTTTAAGTTTAGATACATATGAAATTGGAAGGGTGGGAAGTGAGTAGAGGCTTTGAAAAATGCTGCCCAAGGACTTTGGGTAGTATGCAATTCCTAAAAATTACTTACTCTCGAAAAAACAAGGCAATTGTTGTTGTCCATTACACTTCTTGATTTTACTTCATGGACCCAACCACAAACAAAAAAGTTGTAAGCTTCAAGACTTTTATATGCTTTCATTTGTTTCTTCGTATAAAATGAAGTTTGAACGACCAAATAATTTGAAATGTCAGGAAACTGCAAGTTAGGGAAATTGTTATGATCGGTTAAAAAGTCACTGTTTTTTGGAGAATATGGATCCAGTCCATCACATAAGGAAAGCTTCTCTTGGTATCTTGACTTTGCCTTTGGTTGAAGAGATAAAAAGTACTCGGATACTAAATTTTTCGTTGTTGCTGTTGGCTTAGTTATAGTAGCATTGGCCGACATCTTAGTTGTTTAGCCCTTCACTTGAAATCCGTAAAAACATTTTGAAGCAATAAATCACGTGACTGCAAACAAAGAATAACTGGAGCGGCTATCTCTCAAAAGTTGATTCAAGTTTGTTTTTGCGTTTGAATTTCGCATCAGAGTAATCATGTCGACGCATTTATATGAATTTTGAAAATTTTTGGCCAGAAGAATCATCGCAAAGGTAAGAAATAAGAATAAGCCATTTTATTTCAGATATATTTGTAAAACTTGTAGTTTATTGTAACATTTCATCAACAGTTTGAAACTATTCATAGCATGTCTGAGATTCAATTAGTGGCAAGCACAATCGTGCCGAATCAATTAAATTTTCCAGTTCATTTTGCCTTGAATTAAAGTATTTATCATTCACACATTACTATATTTTGAAGCACTCATTTTAATTGCACAATTTGCACTGATAGCATAACAATGATTTTGTTGCATGTCAAATAATATTGATGATAATTTTATCTGCATGTAAAATGTGTTGACCAGTTTATGGCATAGTCAACATTAAGGCAACTTCCTTAAAAAAAAGTGACCAAATTGATCACAACCCAGCCAGTCTTCATTGTCATCCTCTCTGCATATTTTGCAAACAGCCACATTTTGCTTCCAAGGTATTCATAATAAATTCCATATAAAAATATTCAGCCAAATTTTATTTATGCCTTACCGTGTGATATCATCATAGCAAGACCCAAGTAATGTTGAAAGGATTTGTTTTCACTGAGTCTCAATGTTTGCTGGTTTTTGATTCAAGCCAATGGCTAGACATCGAGCAAACTGATGCGAAATGAGCAGTTATTGAATAATCATGTTTGTAAAAATAGCTATTCAAGTAAAGTTAGGCTATTTCAAGCTTAACAAGCATATGTACACTCCACAGTTATACATATTTTCCTGTTTACAATGAAGTGGCTCAAAACATTGCCATGAGCTTGAGTTCCAACCTGTTTTTACATCTACTAAAGCACTAAAGCAGTGACAAACAATGACCAAAACATTGCCATGAGCTTGAGTTCCAACCTGTTTTTACATCTACCAAAGCACTAAAGCAGTGACAAACAATGACCACATGAATGATAATATTGATTGTTGAAAATGATTTTGGGCAAATCTTTTAAGATCAAATTTGATAATTACCTTAGTTTGTTTATATGATACATCATCTGTGTATTAGGTGTTTTTTTGTCTGCACTTCCTCCAAGTGAGTCAAAATAGAGTCTTAGTTTTGAGAACTTATCTATAGTCTATATTTCACAAAATTTCTGTTGCATTTAGTTAAAAATTTTTTTCTTTGTTAATTAAGGAATTATTTGAGTTAATGTTTCTATAGATACTAATTTTTGCATGTAAATCTGTGGACTCATGTGGGCTAAGTATGTGTATATTGCATGTCTATATTTTATTATTTAGCTCAAATACTTACCAGTAGTGTCCAATGAATGCCATGGATGTTGATTGGAAAAAGGATAATTTTGGTTTGGTGAAAAGATATATTAGCCTATGTGCATCTTGTGCTTGAGTTGTTTTTAACAACCTCTGAAATATTTGATTCTGCTTTAAGAACAGTAGTGTAGTTTTCAGTCAAACTCCACAAAAAAGCGTCAATTATCTAAAATCAAAAGAAAGCATAGTTTGAAGAGATTTCCTCTCCAGTTTTACGTGTACATAGCACTCATGGTTTTAAACAAAGACTATATTAGACGCTTTTTTCTCTTACAGAGTCAGTCAGCCAACCAGGTTTGAATGTGGTGACTTCTTTTTTAATAAATTTTAATTCTTTTTCAGTTATGTCTTTTGGACTGACAAGTGACCAAAGATCTACTGTTGATACATTCACAGGACCAAATTTCAGCACAGTATCCCCAAGACACTGTCTTTCTGTAAATGCATTTATTCGATGTCTTGGAGTTAGAAACAATGAATTGTATGTCGACTGTTTGCAAGTATCAGTGTAGGTGCTATATTATTTAAAAACATAGTGCATGAAGATACATTCACAATTTCAGCTCGTTTTGCAACAAATCATTGACCTTTCTTGTTGTTCCAAGTTGTTGATTGGCGGTACTTCAGTTCTTTCTTGTGATGCCTGGATTTCTTCTGTTTCACTCTCATACAACAATTCTTGCTCAACTGGCTCTTCAAGTGCGTTCTGGGACGTAAACTGTGAGTGAAAATTATAATTTGTAAAAAAGTGCTCGTCAGTCCAGGTTCCCAAAATGAAAATTATCTCACCTTTTTTGATGATACAGCGCGCTTTTGACTTATGTCTGGGACCATTGTTGTGATATAGTTATTAGCATCCTGCTTTTTGCAACGGAGAGGCAATTTTTTGTGAAATACTTGATGATACTCCACACTTACTTTCAAACGCTTTTTTGTTGGACTGTTTCTTATTGGCAAACCTTCACTGACTGGGCAATTTCCATTTAATATTTCGTGCATTTTATTTGCGTAGTCAAGCGCTTCTTGTAAAGGTTTTAGCTCGTTGACGGTGAATGCCTGATTTCAAACAAGGCTCAACTTCTCCAGCAATAAATATCGCGTTTGTGCAGTTTCCTTTAGTTCGCAAGATTTTTTCTGTCTTAATTTTGTTTTCCTTTGTTTCACGTTTTCTTTCATCCTCTTGCACTATTACGTCATAAGTACGCTCGACAATCTCTGCATTGTTCTTGTTTTCGTTATCAGTCTCCTCGTAATTTCTCTTTTTTTCATTTTCTTCTTGATTCAAACGATTGTCCAATCTTATGAAAACGTTGTTTTTAAAGTGTTGTGGGAGGGCTGTGAAATTCCATTCTTCAAAGGTATTGAAAATTGCGTACATGTGTTTACAGGGAAATTGGGTCTTTCTCCACGAATCACAGCTACACTTTGGAACACTGAGATTGATTTTATACCATTTAGTTTTGTCTGATGAGCTCCTAACGGAGAAATCACCTTTACTATTGTCGATGCAATCAACATCATTATCGCAAAATTTTCGCGATGCGAATCAACTTTTCATACAGTGCTTGATAAAGTAGTTTGGACGATTATGCAAATAGTATGGAGCATTCTCGTTGACCTTTCTGTATTCGCTGCTTTGTTTGAAGTTGGTGTCTTTGTAGTGAAGAGTCTGGAAGAAATGACTCTACCATTGTTGTAACTACACCATATATTGATTTTTCGATAGCTCTTAGAAGATAATTGTGCTTAAAGTGCCTGTTCTGCGATTCGACGCCGTTGTTGGTGTTTACTATATTAACAGCTTGTTTGCTTTCTGAAAATTTGAGCCCACTGTTCTTTGCAAGTCATCCATGTGTTTTCAACGTAGCTCTTGATATGGGCTTTCTCATAAACTGATGAGCTTCGAAGTGCTTCCAGTGCATCGTCGAGCTGATTTTGATGTGTTGATCTTGCCACTTGCTGTAAAAGTTGCAGAAATTCTTACTGTTCTGATGAGCTGACACCGTTTTTGGCCAACCGTGCCCATCTTTACCAAGCCTGAATGCGGTGAAAGTCTCATATATAAACATGTGCGCCTGAAAACATCTTTACTAAGGCGTTTATTTCTGTCGTTGAAAAGTCTACCATGAAGTAAGACGGTCTACACCATGTGTTCCAGCTTTTGACTACATCTAAAGCTTCACAGATAGATTCACTGTCCTCGTTCTGACAAATGAATTCAGCCACAACTTTATACCCAACACTAGTATGAACGCAAATGAAAAATAATGGCAACGCGTATTTTGTTGTTTTGTACGTCGCATCCATCAGAGCCAATCCGGATTACAATGATAACAATAGTTAGACTTTATTTTAACATTTTGGAACAAATAAGTCCAGTTAAAGAACACTTTTTCAAAAAGATTGATTCTCTTTGTAATACAAATGGTGTATAAACATCTTCAACATTTAGACATGACAAAATATTCCAGTTTTCTGACGATGACTTAGGAATGAATTCAAAATCACAAGATGTTTACAACTTGCACTATTCAGCAATAAATTATCCCCTAGGAGGCTAAACACAATTTAAAAGAGTTTCGTGTTCAGGATTTGCATTGGACAGTAGCTGAAATTTGTGTAGTCTTCAAAGATTTTTTCAATATAGTCTACTAGTAAACAGTGTAAGTTCCCTTACTGTAACCAAACATGATAAATATTTGTTGCTCTGTGGCTACTTGAACCATTCGTAATGGAACTGATTGATAGTACCACGTAAAGTGGAATTTCGCTGCATTGTTCTAGCTTACATGACGTATAAATTTAGAATTTGTATTATGATTTGAGGAGTGTGGAAAGAATGGTATGAAAATTGTCAGTGTTTGCTTCACAAATGAAAGGATTGCGTTTATTTTGATACACACTGTGTGTGTTCCACTATTCCAGTCATATACAATCATCTGTATTTGTTTTTGTAGGATGCAAAGAGACACGAAAGGCCGTTGCAAAATACAGTTCAACACCTGAATACATCGTGGGTGCTGAGGCACATATTCCTGCTCCATAACTATAGGGACAATTGTTGATAGTGATATTGATAAAGTACTTGGGAGAAATTCATGTTAGCATATTCGTTTTCCTAAAGCCATCGTCTCTAATTTTACTTCAAGCAGCTTTATTGATGTCTACTTTAACAAGAAGGATTCCTTCTTATGAAGGCAGAAAAATCTAACTTTTATCCTCTCCCCCCCCCCCTTTCTGTCCCTTCACCAAGTTTTGGCATTCCATTGTATATTTCTTTAAAATACAACTCATTGACAACGGTCAACCAAAATGTGGCTGTTTTCTTGCGTTTCATCTCCTTATATCATTTGCAGTGAGTAATATTCTTAAGCAACGATTTTTAATTTACACAGGGTTATAGCATCTTTGTTGAATACACTTCTCTCACCACCCCACTCCCCCCTCCTCTCAATAAGTTTTCAATAAGGAACAAAGTTCATTTAAGATTTAAGTGTTTCGGCCTCACCATTTAAATTACCGGGGGGTGAATACAAGTAATGTATGCATCTACTTGAAATGTGCTATATCTATCAAGGTGAGGAGATCTTAGAAAGCAGCTCTACCTGATTTTGACAGAAATGAGAGAGTCGGGCCTTTCACACAAATATTTTATGAAAACGCCCATACTTCTATGTTTATGTTGTTTTCTTTACAGGATGTTGTGTTGGCCAGCGGTTGCTCTGGAGCAATCAAGATAGCATTGAACGCCCTAGTTGATCGTGGTGATAACATCCTAATTCCAAGACCTGGTTTCTCTCTTTACAAATGCATCTGTGGATCGAGGGAGATTGAAGCACAATCTTATAAGCTCTTTGTAAGTTTGTGCAAATTAAAGATCTTGAGTTTACGTTACTGTTTAAGATTAAAGACTGTTATAATTAAGTTCTAATTATGATAATGAAGATTAAGGACTGTTCTAATAATCATGATAATGGTGATCAAAGAATATTCTAATTATGTGCTGATTGTGACACTTGAAATCAACGACTTTTCCACTTTATTCTTCATTGAAGTCAAACAGTCAGTAGAGAGCTTTAGCAAGAGTACGACTACGACAACGAGTACAAAGTTTGACCGTGTAAGAGAATGGCGCGAGGAAGTTTTTGTCGTTATCGCTTCGTCAAAATTTTGCTTTAGCTATAAACAACAGAACGAGACTTTTTATTGTGAAAAATACCGACGTTTGCGAAACAGCTACGGCTCCATTTGTCAATAATGATATCAACTAATTGGTAATACTGGTTTTGCGAGAACATAGGACTCTTTAGACTTAAAAATCTTCACTATTTTAAGCTTTATGTACGATATGTGCGATTTATGCTATTTTATTGTTTGTTTACCGTTCACTTTGCGTGCGAAATACATGGAAGTTTTCAAGGTCATATTTTCCTTTTAAATGTACATATGCACTCAAAAAAGGTTCTAAAGTAAAGCCTGGATGCTGGAAAGTAGTACTGTAAACTAATTTCTTACACAATGAAAAAATTTATCTACTTTCTTTGCTTAAAAAGACATCGTAGTCGCGACTACGAATTTTTTACAAAACATCGTTCTCAAATTGATGACGGCTACGTGTTTTTGTTGTCGCAACAATGTTTTCGCGCCAAAATGACGTAGTTCGTACTCGTAGGCTCTGCTAAAGCTCCCTACGACTTCAAAGGATTCCAACAAACTAACCTTGAGTGTTGCTTTGGACTTTATGTTCAAATGAATAATGATTGTTTATAATTTTCAGCCTGAAAATGGTTGGGAAGCCGACTTGGACAATATGGTTTCACTTATTGACGAGAGAACAAAGCTTATTGTCGTTGTCAACCCATCAAATCCCTGTGGTTCTGTGTACAAAAGAGAACATTTGGAAGAAATTTTAAACAGTAAATATCTCAAGACATGTACAAGTTTTTTCCGCCGATTTGACCAACAAACTTCGTGCATTCATATTGGTCTTATTTTCTTACAGTTGCTGAAAAATACCGCGTCCCAGTTCTCTGTGATGAAGTTTACGCGCATGTCTTAAGTGTTCGTTAATTGCATGTCACATGACGACTTTTGAATTTCCCGATGCCCTAAATTTAACCGACTTTTAAATACGTTAATGTTTCAACTAATGTAAGCTCATCACGATTGTAATATTCGCTTAAAGGGGTAGTCTGACCTTAACACAACTTTCGTTCATATGAAAGTGTATATTGTTCTTACCTCTCTCACGAAATCCCAGGTTTCCAATTCAAATTTAACTCGAGAAATAATGCCTTAAATGTGTGTATTTTTGCCTCTTGTTCGATCGCCATTGTGTACATGCAAGCGAAGCCGCAGTCCAGCAGCGGTTTTTCGTCGTGACGTCACTGCGCGGTGATCGTTGTCAACATAAGACAAAATATACTAGCAAAGTAGAAATTACGCATAAGCATATTCATCGTTGCATTTTATTTTCTAAGTTTTAAATTATTTTGCGCAATGGATACGGATTACTCAAACGATTCCTCTAGTAATTATTCTGGAAGCAGTGTTTCAAACTACGAAGAAATGATTAACGATCAAAACATGATTCAACCATATGCTTATGAGCCGATTGAAACAGACTCTAGCGACGAGCTATGGACGACTCTGACGAAGTTCAGCTGTTGTAACAATGAATGAAGACTCAGCACAAATTGAGGGAATAGATACCGGACTGTATTACAGATAATCCTGTTTTCGAAATCTTTGTTTAAATTATTGGCATTACGACTGGCATGGGTGAGTACAAACAACACTATGGTTCAAGAGCTGAAGAAGGACCTGAACACAAAAGAAAAACATGTGGCTACAGGCAACTGGTTCGATGGTGTTGGAATGTATTGGGCGAAATTAGAAATTACTACCATCTCTTTGCTGTTAGCTACATTCGAGCACATTCCAACCACTGGGTCTAGAAGGACTTTGTCTATGAGGTTTTAAATTTGCTGATGAATAATGGTAATGTAAACTATTATAGCCATATTTAGAAGTATCGTTAATGATGAATTATTAATAAATAAAATATAAATTGGATTTAGTAAATGAACAATAAATACAAATTATAATGGTCAAGCCAAACCAATTTTATTTGTGCTATGCAAGGATTTTGGTGTACATAATTAAAAGTGCCTTTGCTAATGATTTGCATAGCAAACAAAAATTTTGCTACTTTACTATTAGAGATTCTCTTATTATTAATTATAAATATTGGTATATACATAACTATTTTTGGGACTGTTTACCCATTCTTGATTTGTGTGCTTGTACACTTTCTTTGTTTCTTTTTCTATAGATGCAATATTTCTTGGAATGTTTGCTGGTAAGAAATTGTACATTTTACATTAAAACAGCAGACATCTTCCATCATACTTGCACAAAAGAATATTACTCACCATACTGGCTTGGCTACCCATTCCTTCCTTTGGGAACCGATATTATATCACTTTTCCCTGCTTTCCACATTGAACTTGTGCTTGTTTTCTGCCAGTGTTTACATTGTGGTCTATCACTGCCAACTTGGTTCTTGCAAGCATACCTTTATATGTAAGCACTTTTATTAAAGTATTTTCCCTCCTTCCACTTGTGCTTATCGTGTTCCCAAAAGAAAAAATTTGGAGTAGTTAATTATGTGGTGAGTAAGTCATATCTTTGTGCAGGTATGATGGAAGATGTCCGCTGTTTAATGTAAACATTACATAACAGATTTCTTTACCAGCAAACACTCCAAGAAATATTGCATCTATAGAAATTTAAACAAAAGAAGTTTTTAAAGAACACAAATCAAGAATGGGTAAACAGTCCCAAAATAGTTATGTATATATCAATATTTTAATTAATAAGAGACTCCTAATAGTAAAGTAGCATAATTTTTTTTATTTTGTAAATTCATTGAAGGCACTTTTAATTATGTACACAAAATCTTGATAGCACAAATAATTGGTTTATGGCCATTATAATTTGTGTTCATTTACTAAATCCAATATATTTTTATTTATTAATAATTCATCATTAACGATATTCTAAATATGGCATAATAGTTTACATTACATTATTCATCAGCAAATTTAAACCCTCAAGACAAAGTCCTCTTCTAGGACCTATGGTTGAAAATGCCTGAATGTAGCACAGCAAAAGATGGTAGGACTTACTCTGCTAATACATTCCAATACCATTGAACCAGTGCCTGTGAACATGTCTTGTCTTTGTGTTCAGTCCTTCTTCAGCTTTGAACCATAGTGTTGTTTGTACTCACTCCATGCCAGTCGTAATATCCAATAATTTAAACAAAGATTTGAAAACAGGATTATCTGTAATACAGTCCGGAGTATCATTCCTCAAATTGTGCTGAGTCTTCATTCATTGCAACAACATGAACTTCGTCGAGTCATCCTGTCGCTGAGTCTGTTTCAGTCATGCTCATGCATAACGTTACTTTTGATCGTTAATCATTCTTAGTAGTCTGCTGCCAAATAATTACTAAGAACTGTTTGGAATCTATCCATTGCGCAATAATTTAAACCGAAAATAAAATGCAACGACAATATGCTATGTAATTTCTACTTTGCTAGTATATTTTGTCTTATGTTGACAACGATCACCGCGCAGTGACGTCACGACGAAAACTGCGCTGGACTGGGGTTTCATTATGTACATTATGGCGATCGAAAATACACACATTTGAGGCAGTATTTCTTGAGAATTTGAATTAAACCTAGGATTTCGAGAGAGGTAAGAAATAAATATATACTTTCATATGAGGAAAGTTGTGCAAGGTTGACCACTTTTAAACAACGAACGCTTCAATTTTGCATCTCGAAGGTGGGTTTATTGTGGTTGTGGAGTGAGGCAAGCTTCACCATTTTGAAAGGTGGCAAAACTTGATTTACCATGAATATGCTTCCTGATTCCTATACATTTGCAAATTTGACAGTCGAGGTTTGGCGTCCTTTCCTTATCTAGACACAGTTGTTAGGGTATTCCGGAAATTGACCTCCGTCCCAATGTCTTCGGAACACGAAGAATAATCACATCACAACTTTGGGTTTCTTAAACAATTTTATTCTCACTCTCAAAGGTATTCTCACTCACAGTCGAGGTTTGGTTTTTTAAATAATTGTTTGGAATGGGTTTTGAGACATCTTTCAAGATGGCGTCCTTGCCTTACGTCGACAAGGTTGTTAGACATGCAGGGGGTTGGGTTCTAAATTTTATTGGTACTGCCCGAGAAGGTGGTCAGGCTTGGCAACACTGAATGAGGCTTGAACTAAATTAACTTTTTCTCTTACTTCCTGCAGACATTCGGCAAAGAGCCTTTCCATAGCATGAGAAGTTTAACAAAAAATGTTCCTCTTATAGTTGTCGGTGGCATCGCCAAAAGGTGAGCATGCGCATTTTTATTGCATTACGTCATTTTGAGGAAACCATATAAACGTTGTGTGTCAATGACAGGTTCTTGGTGCCAGGTTGGCGTATCGGATGGATTGTAATTCACGACAGAAATGATTTCTTTGGTTTTAAGGTATGAATATATCGCTTGCACAGATCTCATAATACACTAGATCATGGGTTGGCAACATACGGCCGCGGGCCGGGTCCGACCCTGAAGGGATTTTGACTGGCCCGCCGACTGTATCCGAGTCGACTCCGATTCTGCCCATCTCTATTGTAAACATCGCCTACTACTGGGTAACAAAGTGACTGTTACATGTTTGTAAATGTAGATTGTCCAGGTTGGTATAGTCCTGAGAAGGACTGTTTTTGTTGTTGTTGATTGACGTTTCGACAACCTTAGCGGTAGTTATCTTCAGAGTCAAATGAGGAGTAAACGTCAGGTTAGCCGTATTGTTATCTGGTTCTTACGTCATTGTATTGTGTGTCTGCTGGTGGATTTGACAATCTGAATAGCCTCTTGTGTGTTCAGCGGGGACTTAATTCTAAGTCCTGCTGGAACGAGACCAAAATCCTTGCAGCGGTGGTTGAACCAGAGTTGTTGGCGTATGCGTCTTACGTTGCTTGCAAAACGTATGTAGTCGTTAGCAAGTTGTTCGCTCTGTCGTCCAAATGATCGTAATAAACTATGGTTATGCGTTTTCAATGTAAAGACGGGCACAAGACGCATTATACGTCACAGCGAATAATCAACGGTTATTCGTCTTCAGTGTAAAGACGGACACAAGACGCATTATACGTCACGACGAATAATCAATGATTATTCGTGTCTGTAGACAAAGAATCGAACAAAGTTCGTCTTGTCGTATAATGCGTCAGTCTGTATAAAGACGGCACTTAGACGAATAACTCAATAAAGTGAGAGAGATTAAGATTTTCTCGTAATTATCAAGTTGTTCGTCTGATACTTCATTGTGCTTACAATTTGTTAACATGACACAGCGATTGATCGCAAACCTTTCTGGTTAGCTTGTGCTTTGAATGCATGTCACATGTCTATGGATGATAGCATTCTTTAAGCCAACGGATTTGGTATAATAGTTAATTCATATTACAACTTCAAAAGGTAGATCTATGAAACAGTAGAAAAAGGTTATTTATCTTGGTTATAAATCAGCTATTTCTAATTATGCAAGTGATTCGTAAAATGTACTTACAACCAAACATTGTGTACATCCAACATACTCTATATTGTTCAATGAATAATCAGTAATAGCATTCTTTTTCACATGACTCTCTTGCCTGCAGATTATTATTTGACTTTAGATAACCTTTGCTTTTCTCTGTAGTGACAATATCATCAAGTAGAAACTTCTTCTCGCCAGGCTTTCTTGATTGTTTAATTTCATCTTGACATGACTTTTGTACTTATGTTTCGCAGATCGGTGAGAGATGACGTCATATCATGGTGGATCTTCCAGATTAAGAGATCGATAAGGCAGCTCGTTCTTCGCCTTAGCACAATCAAGATTCAAAATGAATTGCAAGCTACAATACATTTTTAAAAAAAACGAAAACTGACATCTTTGTTGCCATTGCCAAGCAAAAAAATATTAAAGCATCCTGAAACGAAAAAATAAAATTCAGATTTAATGATTAGGATTTCAACTTTTAAGTCCGAACGCTATTTTTAAGTATCTCTGATCATTGAGATGTGACAAAATTAACCTTATTATCTAGTATCAGTCATCAAATATCTTTATTGGAAAAGTTGTCGTTCATAATCTTAATTTGTTTGAGCTATTTTATTGGTAAAAATGGTATTACATATTTTGTCTGGCTGCCTCAACTTTGCGTTTATTAATAGTTTAGTTTTCCTGAACATTTCACCAATTCAAATAAATATATGTAAGCTGCGTATAAGGTATATATATAAACTGTGTATTGATTTTCTTAGCTTCCTAAATTATAAATCTTTAATTTTTGAGCTATCTTACTTGTAAAATGCTGGCTGCCCTGTCTTCCTTTATATATTTCAAGAGGCGGAAGGGTTCAGGACAATAATTGAAATAAATAATAGTAAATTGTGAAAGGTTTATTGGCACATAAAGCCTCCAAGTCAAAACTTCTTTGTGTTTAATTCAGTCATAGCTAAAATAAGAAACTTGCATTTCATATTCTATTGGTGTGAACAGAATTCAATTTTTACAATAAAACAGCAGGTTATTAAAACAAGCATTTATTTAACATTCCACTTCTTTTTTATTATCAAGCAAAGCAAACACATCATGGTTGGTTCCGTCGTTATTTAATCTTTCTGAATTTGTGAAGGTATGTTGATTTTAAAAATTACTCAGCCCTTAAGTAATAGTGTATTTCTAACTTTTAGATTTAATGTTTTATTCCATGCATCATTGTTTTGATGTCAGCTGATATTTTATTAAGGTGGTTATCACTCTTGAAACAATTTTGTTTATTTTTAGTAATTTAGGAAATATCATTTTCTGAAAGGCATATGATGTTACTATAATTTTTTTCATTAATACATTAGCCTAATTATCCAACATTTTGCTGGGAGCTAATTAAGACTTATTTCTGTTTTATTGTAAAATATAGATAACTCAAGAACCAGTGGTTAAAAAACAAAATAAACATATATTTTGAAAAGCTTAGAACCTGTTTCTATTATGTGATTACTTTTAATTCATTTAATATCTTAAATAAAATTTAGAGTGAAATTTAGAACTTTTTCAATTCTTGCATTTTATTTTGTAAACATTTGAATCATTTGGCTTTAATCTAATTAAATATAAACAGCATTAAAAATCTAAGAGTGTCACATAATAGAGGATAATATAGTTAGTAAGTATGCCAAATATCAAGCTCTGCATCAAATATTTACAAATTTATAGTGTCACAAAAATCACTGACTATTGCAAAATGAAAATGAGAAAAGCAATCCAAAGTTTCATTCCAGTTCATCTACAACTTTGAAGGCTTAGCCACGGTTTCCATAAGTTACCCTTCAAGTCTCTTCAGATTGTCCAGAAACTTCTTTCTGAGATGCCTCAGTGACTTCCTTACTTTTCTTACTTGCTCGGAATTCTTTTGACTGATAACTTTATCCTGGCTTTGTGGGTCTTGTACACCTTTTGGCATGAAATACCCCAAGCATTATGTTCAAATCATGAAAATGTTAATATAGGAGATGCTCCCCATCATAAACTTCTGAACACTGCCAAATGTTGCAAGAGACAGTTTCTTGGAGATTCTGTCCCAAATGAGTCCATTCAAACACTTTCGTTTGGATTCTGTGTCAATCCATGTGTACATTTTCTGAATAAATCTAACAGTTAGATCATTGAATATTGCTCAATGAAGTTCTACTATGTAAGGCCCAGGAATACCAGTCTTGTGTTGGTAGGTGGTGTCATACTTTAGGTAGCCAGCACCAGCTATCTTTCCTTTTGGACACAGGTGATGCTGAGGATTCTTCTCTGAGAGGGCAACATGGAAAGAGATGCCCAGTGCTTCTGGCCATTTCTTCAACACTAAGGTTTCTTATTGCCAAACCACACACTTTCGAAGAATGTCCATCTTTGCGTGCAGTTGGTGACCTTTCCAGACAAACCTTACTAATCCGAGAGGTTTCTCCCTTTGTCGAGGTTTTAGTTTCCGCAGTCTGCTTCCGAATGTGAGTCTATTGCTTTCCCACCGTCCGGACATTTCAGAACCTCATTTTAAGACTATAAATAAACTGATGAGTCCAGAGAAATATAGTACCTTCTGTTATAATGTTGGAATGGACAGCAAATTATTGTCTGATTATCAATTTTCGCACCGGAAGATCCAACCCTTTGTCACAAGGTTCGCCATTTTGCATTTCTTTACATTTTTCTCACCAGTTTCTACCTCTATTTTGAGGATTTCCCATCATATAACTTCAAATCCCAACAAAATAACAAAAACAATAGTTGGGAAATAAAGCAGCAAATTTAGCACTTGAAATGTTACAAAAACTAAGAAATTTGTAGACAACTTCTGCCAGAAATGCAAACGCATCGATCTCGAGACAGACAAAAGACTTTCATTGCCATGACTCCCCAAAGGAACCAATTAGAATACAATTATGTCAAAAGACTCTGAATTCAATGCACCAAAAGGAGAAACAAAAATGACAATTTTTTGACCAATATTTCGACCAAATTTTGAGGAAATCTCAACCTAAATGCGTTGCTAGGCCGTTGCTATGGAGTAAATTTTTAAACAACATAGCTTTGAAAGCTTTTTGACCGTAATTTATAATGTTTTTCAAAATTTAAACGACAAAGTCTTAAAATTAAATAGTTAAGGCTCCCAAAAAATTAATAATTTTTTTTTTGAAAATTTGGTCAAAATACAGTTTATAAGAGGTGATGACCACCTTAAATATAACTTATAAATTAGTGCCATGTATGTTTCATATGGATAAAATTTCTTCATTTTGGTGAAAATTTAAAACAAAAATAAATTTTGGATACATTACACGAGGGAAATACGATCTTTCTCACATCAATACCAATTTACTCTATCATTTATTTCAAATTATATTGATACAGCAAAGTTTCAAACTTAACGTGTTGAGTCAAAAGTATGACACGTCACAGAATTTCAGTTATGCATATCATTATGTGCAATAATTTAAATTCTATATAACATGACTTTTATAAAGAAGAGTTTTTCCTCATTCAATGAAATTTGAATGATGTGCTATGAAAGTTTAAACATATAAGATTCTGTCGTGGTCTTTTCTAGAATACTGCTTTAGTAAAAGTGACTAATTAATATCTCACATAGTGATATAAATTGAACCTATTGCACATTCTTAGACGCAGCATGAACATTGAAATTTTTTGTTACAGTCAATTACTGACAAAGCAATTTTAAGGGTTTTTGTATATCGTAATATGCTAGTTTGGAATTCTTCGCACGGTATGATTTTGTTACTAAAAAACCGATGACCATCTATCATGTAAAAATTTACTCACTATTTTTTAAAAGAGTTGTCAAAATGAGTACGGCAAGATTAGTACTCCAGTCCATTATGAAGTTCAATAAACCACTATCTTTAATTACTTAACGCATTTGGTC